CATGATGTTCTAAACCTGTGTTCTCCACATGAATGATTCAAAAGGCTCATTAATAAGCGTCTCGTTGCTGACAAATTTCGTCTGACAAATTTTTGACAGTTTTCATTCTGTTCTCCCAACTCATGAAACCTTATTGTTTTTAGATGTTGTATTCAGCTGGGTATGAACGTATCTATTTAGCTTAATTGACATGAACGAATGCCTTCAAGCGTGCAGTCATAGTTCAAGGGCATATATGAATATCTATCTGATTACCAATAAATTACCTGCACCGATGGGGTCAGATATAGTGAGTGTAGTAATTTTTTGTACCAATGAATCATACTTAATTATATACTCTATATTGAAGACTAACACCACACCAAGTTGAATTGTTGGGTCTCATATTTCTTTCCGAAAAATATGAAGCGATGGTGAAAAAAAAAACAGGCCTAGGCATGATAGCCCCAAATGCTACGATAGGATCCATGAAGTCAACATACTGGGCTGGTTTGTACTTCAAACAGTGAATTTCAACTTTTAATCAAACCACTGCATTGATGTACCTTGATGCAAATGTACACGAAGTGTTCTCTAGTTCAAAGTCTGCTATTATAATATTGGCACTTAAATTTCACACAGATGCTTGTTTTTAGGCAGCAAAGTAATGGTATGCTGCATAACACTACATGTAAGTAAATATATGTTATGCGTCTGTATGCAAACTATTAATTTGTGTAGTTCTGGTTTATTGTCTTGGATTAATTTGATGAATGGGTTAAGCTGGAAGCATGCTGTCTGCCACTGAGAGAGTCATAAAATACTTCCCTCTGTATTTGATGAAAAGTCTTGTCATCATTTACGTGGAGTTTGTGAACTGCCTGATTCATGAAGCCATTTTGAAACTTTTTTGTTAAAATTCTGTTTACAGAGTGAAGAAGTATAATGATTATATATTGGCCTTCTTAGAATTGCAGCCAATTTAAACTGATCAATTAGACAGTAGAATGTATATAACCTTTTTTGAAGAAGCAGAGTCAGTATATATTAACTATGAGACTATGATACAGGGTGACTGTTGCCATCCTCAAAGTAATCAGATGATATGAATTTAGAAGACTAATTATTGGAGATTTACGGTATCATATCCCTATGTCTAATTTTTAATCAAATTCATTAAAGTCACATTGGCAGAGAATGGCATTGTTTGGGGATTGCATGGCATTGTCCATCTAAACCATATCAGAATGCAATTAATTTTGAGCTGTGACCGCCACGTTCAAGTTTGTCGCACAGCCAAATTTTGAAGGTGGTTAGAAGCCTTTACCATGGCTTCAGAATTGGCTGGAAAGAGTAAAAATGGCCCAATTGACAGAAAACATTCCAGGGGAGTTGACCTGCTAAAGCAGTTTTATTTGCCAGTCCCGAAGGTACTTTCTTATAAAGTGTCAAGGTCTCTACTCTTTCCATCAGCACTTCTGAAGCTGGATAGAGGCTAGGGGATTAGTACCCAGAATTATAGTACCAAGACAGTCACCTTGAAAGCTTATATTTCTCCTGTTATATGGATGAGAAGAACAGAGATGGTGACCTCAGGGTTACAGACAGGGACCAGAATGAAGGTCATTAATCATGAAGGTTGATCCCTCAGGCCTGAGAACTGCACGTAGACCAGATTCTGATGGGATCCCAGTTGTCTCTATCTATCTTAAGTCTGAACCTCTTGGAAGTATGTAGTACTAGACCAGTTGTCTTTCTCTAATTTAAAAGAACATTTTGGAAACATGGGGGACAGACCAGTTGAAACAATGTTTATGTTAGACTCGAATTAGAGGAGTGTTTTGGTTTCATTATATTACTGGTATTGGACGACCTTTTTTTTTGTTCTGGAAGATCGAGTACTGCACGTAGACAAGATTCTGATGAGATCCCAGTTGTCTCTCTCTATCTGAAGATCATTTTGGAAACATGTGGGCCAGACCAGTTGAAACAATATTTATGTTAGACTCGAGTTAGAGGAGTAAAAATTGGATAGCCCCGCAGATTATGCCCAGATTAGTTTTCTAAACTTGGTAACAGTATATGCTGTCACGTCAAGAAACATGATACATTTTACAAGTTTCCATAAGAAACAGACTTAATATATACATTGTTTATCAGATGGAATGATGCTGTGACATACTTAGTATGTACTTATCAGAATGGTTAATCGTGCTCTATCCTTTCATGGAGCTGGGTTCATGTATGTATTACGAGCGTGTAACCTACACCCAGCCTGGGAATGTAGAGGAGTGCAGCTATGTTTGGTGATGGAGCTTTACAGGCAGGACCTTAGTAAGTCTGTTATAGTACTTAAGCAAGCCAATAATGGATCAGGTCATACTGTTGTGCAGCTGTCTTTTGGAGAGATGTTTATGAGTGATTGCAGAGGTAGGAATTTTAATATTATAATTATAATAATAATTTTTTTACATTATAACATGGCCTGCAAATGCTGAAACACAAATTGAAATTGGTCTGAAAGAAAAATTACTGTGAGAGTGCACTGACAGCAACTATAGGAGTGTGATAGGAACCAAAAGTAAGTTGTTTATTTGATGACAAATTTTAATTTAAAAGAACAGGAAATAAATTTGAACATTCAAGACATCTTGTAGTTAAAGATCATTTAGTGTCAGTCATCAGGCACATATTTCTGCATGATTGAATGAACAGTGTAAATATTAATATATGGAAAATTGGGTTCTAGATTTTCTCTAATCTACTGACACATGACGTATCTACAAAAGTGATATCTAACTTAATTTTAGATAGCTCAAGTTATCTAATTCAGTTTAAGATGATCATAGCTGATCTATTCATGGTGCCACTTGTTATGCAGGTAGCACCATACTCAATTCACCTTCACCTTTTGAAGTTATATATAAGACTTAAGAGGCAGAATGTGGATAACTTTCAATCAGAATCTTGAGTCTTACAGGTTTTACGAGGTCCCGTCATGATTCTTGTTATGTAACAGCTATGAATGCTTTTTACTAGAGATGATCTGTTTACGACCTTGTCACTGACAGATAGTGGAAACGTAACCCTTTTGATAGTAGTCAACTTCATTTTTAGAATTTCACAATATGGGGGTTTTCAATATGACAAATTACTTTTAGTTCAAGGGATGCCAAGCCAGGATTATGTATTTAAAAGGTTGTTTTTTCAAGGACTTTTATAGTTGTCACCATGCACAGTAGGGACATTTGCAGTCGATACTAGCTTCAAATTATGCTTAGAGATTAGATGTGCAAAGGTTCAAGTTAAGGTGTAACTGACTGCTAAATGTAGATATTATCCAGCTGACACTACATGCCTGTGAAGCTGTAAAAAAGACAAGATTCTTAGACCACTTTCCACACGCAACAAGCTTTAAGTGGTACACTCAGTATCTTTCTAAGAGTTGTGCATGTACCAGCTCTATTTTTCCTGCACACTGCATCATGTATATGAGGCTCAGATATTTGAAACCTGAGTGTTGCGACCATGACCCACCACTTTGTTGATGACACGATGGCCAGGGCACATAAAATATGCTCAACTTGCATTCAAGATTTCTTTTCCATCGCTTTCGTCTTGTCATTATTGATAATTTAGCCAGTTTTTGCGACCTTGCATCAAGGAACATGTCACCATTTCAAGTGCTTTTAGTACAGGCTTTTCCTTCCAAAAGGTTGCCCTGTGATTGCCTGGAAAAACTGCTTTGAAAATGAGTTCCTAGAAAATGCTGCATCCAAAACTTTACAAAGTGGAGGTAATGACAGGCAGCAATCTGTACTGCACGTTTTGTCAGACAACAGATTGTTAGGACTTAACCTGTATGACCTTGAAATCTGGTCACCAGGGTACATGCATGGATGAAGTGCATTAATAGTACAAATTGATGTAATTTGCATTGTTGCAACTGTAATGCAGTGAACAGTATTTTACCACAGTGAAACTAATGCCGTAATGTCCTAAGCTTGATGTTGATTATGACTACAAAATCTTGTACTTGATATAAAGATTATGTTTTGTGTTGTGTTATGCAGCAAACCTTGACAAAGTCCAATATGTTCACAAAAGAACATACAACGTGGAGTTTCTAGGGCATATTTGGCTCTTGTATTGTACATTGTGTTGTAGGCCATACGAAAGTCCCTGTACTTTTGAATCTGATAAAGAATCTGATTGTCTGTAATTCATGTACCGCAAGGCATTTCTGTGCATTTTACAGGTTATTGCCCTTTTTGGCCATCATACGGGTCATTCCCCTAAGGAGAAACATTGTAAATTGTTGCTATCAATCATTCAGGAATCCGTTAAATGCTGCTAGGGTATATGCTGAGTTCACAGAAGGCATCCATGTGTGCATGGTTTGGCCTACTGGGTATTCACCCTTTCCTCACGCAAAAATCTTGTTTTCTGTACATGACTTTATCTGACAGTGATGCACATGTAGGCTTTACACAGCCAAACTGAGTGTAGAAGCAATTTGTTGCAGGCCTTCTTGGATTTTGTAGCTTTGTTCTCAAGTCCTTTTTGTTGTTACAGTGCTGTAGGTGACTCCATGATGTATTTCTGCTGATTTCACTTGACATACAAGTTGATTCTTCATAAGACCTTAGATGTTGTACATGCAACAGGTACATTTGTACAGTCATGTATTTCTTTGTTGCTTCCCAGCAGAATATGTGGGAAAATTGCGTATCATCAATAATGTTAGCTTGAAAGTTCATCTGTGTTGATGGAAGTCAACTGGGTAGGTCCAATTTTTGTGTTGGAAGTTACAGTAAAACCTATCTCCGACTCATCAATAGGTCCTTGAGAGATTACCATGACATCATGGCCAGTGAGTTGTAGGCAAAATGAGGGTGACGATTGAATGACTTGCCTACCGCTAATTTGCACATGCCTTCAAATAATTTGCATGTATGTAATGTAAACAAAACAGCATTTGCTCATACTAATAATGCTTGATTCTTTTAATGCTTTTTCAGGCTGCTGGACGTACATGACAAGGCAGACCTACTGACATGCTCCACCACGGTTCCCCCGTCTCGACAGAAATGGTGGAAACCTCCTCCTCCCAGCACTGCTTCCTGCAGCAGCCCCCCAAGGAGACCCCCTGCGTAGCCGACCAGGACTCCGTCTCCTCCATGGAGAACGAGTGGTCGCTACAAAAGCTGAAGGAACGTTTTCATGAGATGGACATTGAGGGCTTGTACCGACGGTACTGCGAAAGACTGAAACACTCTCTACTGCTCATCCTCTTACTGCTGTTTGTGGCCAATGGAGTCATCCTACTGGTTCTCTTTTATCTAGAAAACAAAGTAAGTTATGCAATGTATTATAAGTAAATGTATAAGACCACGCTGTATGCTATACCTGTAGCATTGTGTGGCCTGTGACATTGTGTGGCATTTGTCTCGGAATCAAGAGGTCCCGGGTTCGATCCCCTTATTACATCCCTTGATGTTGTGTCCTTGGGAAAGGCTCATTACACGACTTTCCTTACATCACAGGTGGAAATGATTACCTAGCTTTGGTTAGGAGCATCAGTCGGAACACTTTTGATCTGTCATTTCATCTGAAATTAAAGGGATTTCCAAGGCACTGCCCTGACCTAGATTGTTGAATTTACTAGGCTTGACCTCAATCAATTACTAAATGTATGCCATGTGCATAGTTCTGGTGACCACTACTGTACTATGTGAAGTTATTGATTGTAGAATGGTCACTTTTGAAAACCAAGCTTTACTTTATACAAACATGTTTTTGTGGCCTAAGAACATTTGTGAAGTTCTTACCTTAGCCTAGAAGCTTATAATATGTTTTTGGTAGTGTTTGTACTAGCAATGTTTGTTTGTGGTTTAGCAGCATAACTCCAGAAGCTATGATATTAAATTTTTTGTGTCTTGACTTATCCGCGACATGAATAGATTTTGGGCTCCCTGGTGGCCTTTCTTGTTCCGTTACTTTAAACAAAACCACGTCTTGTGTTTGTTTCAGTCCTTTGATAAACACTTTGAGATCCCCGTCATCATCGGCATCACGGCTGCCCTCCTCCTGGCGATCTTCCTGGTACTGCAGTTCTCCCGACTCCTGCACAACTTCATCACGCTGGTGTCACTCTTCATCTGGCTCCTCCTGCTGGGTGGGGGGCTCGGGTTCATGTTCTCACAAAGGTGCAGTCGTCAAATTTCATGATAATTGTTCTTTTTATGTTAAATATGCTATTATGAGTAGGGGTGCATACCGGTTCACTGGACTTGGATCCGGACTTGAAAGAATGTTTAGGTTCAAGTCCAAAAAAACCTAAAAGTCAAGAACCGAGTCCGGGCTTATTACCATAAAAGACCATTTCACGCAACCCCTTTTCTTTCCAAACCACCTAAAACCTTCCGTAGATTGCAACATCTTTGCTGCAAAATGAAGAAAACATTGCCATCGGGCATCGTCAAGTACCGGCTTCCATGTTATGTGGCCAAAGTTTCACCCAGACAACCCAGCAAGGTTGTCAACATGCAATTTTGTATATGCCATGGGTTTAGGTCCGGACTTACAAGTCCGGAACTGAACCTAAACCTCTGGACTTGAATCCAGACCTGAACCTAAAATTGGGTTTAGGTATGCACCACTAATTATGAGCAATAGCCATAGAAAGTGTCACAGTTTACTAAATCAGTGGCTAATCAATGGCTCACTGCTGCCAAGAGATCTTTTTTAAGATGAAGTAGATGTGGATGGACTCAGTCTTTGAAAGACTGCAGGCAGCTGTTGTTGATGGTGCCCACAAATGTGTCTGGGAGTTTGTTCCAGATCTGGACTCTGTGTGGATGAAGGTCCAGCCAGTGGAATGGGTTCTGGAAACTGGTTGTTCTACTTCTAGTGCATGGTTTGGCATAGCTTGGCTAGTTTGCTTCCTAAAAATTCAATCAAACATATTTTGTCAGAGAAAGGAGCCAGGGGAAACACTGAATTGCGTAATATGTGTACTAAATCTAGAGCTGCATGGATTTTGTGCACGTAGGCACTGGTGACTACTTATACTGCCTTTGCGGAAGTCTATTTCCAGACGGCACTTGTTCTCAAGCCAACACTAAAGAATAATAACAACTGTCCCAGGGCATGGTATATAGCACGTAATAACACCCTCAAATTTCTCTGAGGCTGAATTTCCCCGGAAAGGAAATTGCTTTTCTGGGAACGTTTCCAACGTGCCTCGACCAAGTGATTTTAAATGAGGCCCTGGGTAACACGAGTGTTGGTTATATAATGCTACGTGGTCACTGGTGCATAAAAGAAAGCACTAACTGAAAACAGGAAGGGAGTTCAATAGTCTTCTCATGGTCTTTTGCCTGCTCTGGCGCATGAAAAAAGTCAAGAGGTGAACCACGACTTCTTCTTTGATATTTCAAGATGATAGCTTTGTGATCAGGTACCAACATTAAATTTGTATTCAACACCAAATTTCCATGTAACTTGACATTGTGATAAACATTGCTATTTCTAATTCAGTTTTTGTAGATAAAAATGCTGAAGCAAGACTGCAGAGAGATGCAGGGCTACAGCCAGCACCCGTTTTCCTGTCATTTGCAGGAATTTTGTGGTGTGTGATGGAAAAATTGTAAAACCAATCCGTCAACTGTGAAGGACAAAATTGACAAATATTTTGGAAAAAAACATAAAAAAGGACCACCACCAACCTCTCTCAACCCAATGAGTTGCCTCTCTAAATGTGGGAAATTCCATTTTTTTAAGGCTTGAAAATCCAAAATTTGCCCAATTTTTCCTGTCAGCCCGTTCATGATCAGACCTGGAGGTAGAGTGGCCACATTTTAGGTAGGGCCCATGGGCAAATTTTGGATTTTCAAGCCATGGATTTTCATATGCAATTTCCCGCATTTTGATAGGCAAATAATGGGGCTGAGAATGATTGTTGGTGGTCTTTTAGATGTAATTGAATTTTTACTTTGACAAGATTTTTATCAATTTTGTTCAAGGATTGGTTTAGATATATTTCTGTCACACGCCACCAAGTTCCTTCAATTGACGGAAAAACGGTTGCCTGCTAGAGCCCTGGATTCAGTTTACTTACAGAAGCACCCTTTATCCCACAGACACCTGAAGCTACCATACAATGACGTGGGGTACTTCTTCATCATCACACTGGTGTCCTACACCATGCTGCCCTTCAGTAGAAGATACGCCGTCATCGCAGGTGTACTGACCTGCCTGTCATACCTGGTCCCTGCACTCATAATCTCCATACTGGACAACACATTCGTGGTCACAGATGTGAGTAGGTCACATGGAGGTTTGATCTCTGATGGGGCTTCTTTGTATGATGATGATGATGATGATACTTGCTATTTATAGGCGGTACAAAGGAAACTCCTCACGTCACTTGTGTTGGGGCTATTCTAATCACTTCAAGTATGAAATGATGATGAAAAATGGTAGTAAAGGTTAATATCAGACAGATTTCCTCATCCAGAACATATTTTGATTGCCGCCCTGAAATTGCATTGGATGCCTGTTGATTCCTGTCCATGGTGCTGAACCCGTGCTGCTGTGAATGTACAGATTTCAGCATCTTGTTTTTTCTTCACCGTGTTCTTTTTTCTTCTTAGTTTATAGCAAATATCTTCATCCTCCTGAGTGTGAACCTGGCAGGAATGTACCACAAGTATTTTGTAGACATCGCTCACAGAAGGACGTTCCTGGACACACGGCACTGCATCGAGTCTCGCATCAAACTGGAGAGGGAGCGAGAACAGCAGGTCAGGAGATCACAGAATCAACAGAATATAACAGACTTACTGTGCCTGTAAGGCCTTGTTGTCTTTGTTGTATGGATAACATTCACGTGCTCGTGAATTTTCCTATGTTTCCAAAAAACGTTTTCGACCATACTGTAAATTGTACAAAGCAGCAGCAAAATGAGCAAATGTATGCTGCAAATTGCAAAAAAATATTGGATAAAGATACTAATGTTGTAGAATCAATCATTTTCTAAGGAAAAGGAGAAAATGTAAAGAAATAGAATGAAGAGTCTATTATCTTCCATACCATATAATCAAATCAACATGGCCTAAGGAGCAGAGAGGTCATTGCCATCGCTCAGATTGCCCTTAGAAGTAACTGCCAATTTCTTTTGAGGCAGGATTGCCTGCTCACCTTTGAACACATGTGTCAGTGTCATTTTGTCAAGGCTGTTTGTTAGTGATCTGGAGAAATGACCAAGTACATGATTGTATTGGACCCAATGAGTTATATGACCTTGGTGATATGGAAATTTTGGCAGTTCTCCGTTGATCCGGAGCAAAGCCGTGGCAGAAATTACATGCCGTTTTGTCACGGCCAATACATGAATCAATTTCTATTCCCTGGTTGGATATCAGTCATTGACACAACAACAAAATTGGGTCGATGTTGCATACATGTACAACTGTGACCTTCAAAATCTGACTTTGAACATCCTCCACCTTGAATACTTTGAATATCCCATTGAGAGTGTTTGAGGTTATTCCACTAGACAAGTTGATAGGTACATGTATTATCAGGAACATTTCTTACATTCTTCCCCTTTTCCATCTCCAATTTCATATGCTACATGATATTGTATAAAAATTTTTGAGAACCTCCCAATATTCCTATCTGATGTGGACCAAGGAGAATTGTATACATTTTTCAGGAGAGACTTTTACTGTCAGTGTTACCGGCCCATCTAGCCAAAGAAATGAAGGAAGAAATGATGGGCAGAGTGACGGGTACCAGTCTACACCACAGCACCTCTACTTGTTTCCACAGCATGTATATTAAAAGGCATCTCAATGTAAGGTAAGAGCAGAGAAAACTTCTGGTGTTAAAAGTATTCAATCATATATGGACTGCTTCATGGTTCATACAGTACATGTAGGGTGTAGACTTTTTCTTACACCTATATTCGTTTTTCGTCTAGACTTTTTGTTCTTGTTTACTTTTATGTCAAAAATGAAACAATCTCTTGTGTTGGAACAAAAATTTTAACTGTAAACTTGTCTTCTGCATGTTGTTGCTTTGTTGCAGTATTCTGTATGCAGACATAGTGGGGTTCACCACCCTTGCCTCGGAGTGCACCCCTGCAGAACTGGTCAGGACACTCAACGAGCTGTTTGGCAAGTTCGACCAGATAGCCGAGGTAAGAATGTTTTCCTTCTGGCCTTCTTTCCCTCCTTTTCCCTTCCTACCTTCTTCTATTTTCTGTTTGAGGAAAATTTTTTCAGTCAATTGACCACCTCTTAAAGGCAGTCTCAAGAACAAATTTGATATTTCTGGTTCTGGAGATACTATCATTCTGAATCCCAAAATGTACATGTAATTGTATGCAGCATGACATTGAGATTGGACTAGGCAGCAGTCATATTATAAGGCATCAATTTTCAATTACAGCCAGTTGAAACATGTTATTTTGCAAACAACCATTGGACAAAAATCCAAGTGGCAGCTCTTAAGAAGTCTTGTGTTGATGTTGAAAATTTTGTTTGCAATGTGCTTCTGGATAGTACTTGTTTGCCAATTCATAGCCTTAGCAACTTTGTTTTCCATTTGGTTTGGCCAAAATTGACTTTGACAGATCATATCAAATATCGCACAAGTGACACCACTAATTTAATTGCATTCCATAAAATATAACGATAACGTCACCATGTCATGCATTATGTATGGCAACACCTTTGTTGTATAAAACCTTGCACCTGTTATAGATCATGTTACAGCATTGTGCTTATAAAACCCACGGCTGACCGATGTTGATGAGTATGCTTGTCACATTACATTTCATACGACCTCAGATACCTAGGACAGAAAGATGAGAGGAATTGATTCCCCAGAATTATTCTGGTGTGTGAAGAATGATCCTGTCATGACATGGACATACATGCCAAACCTGTAGTATTGGATAATCATAGGCAAGGCATGCCTGCGCATGTTATGCTGAAGATTTGTGACCTTTTTCGTGTCAGAGCTGGATCAAACTAGGCTTTTTGATTGGTTCGTGACACTGGCAAGAAGTTTTTTTACAAGAAAACAGCCAAGGCCAAATTGATTTCAATATCCAAAACATGCAGCAACATATACATGTAGTATGAATTCAGTATTTATTTTCATTTATTTCATTTTCACACACCTGGGTAGCCCAACTCAGCTTTGACAAGTTGATTTTCAGTAGGGCCCAGTTTACAGAAATAATAAGACATAAGTTAATACTTAAAACAGAAGTAACAGAGAATTGTATGTACATGTAAAACATAAATAACACAGGTAACCAAATTATACAAAATAAATACATGAGATAACTTACAGGCAAACAAAACCGTAGAGAACAAATCAAAATCGTTGGAGTATGGAGATAGGAGTATGAGCTAGTGAAGTATGATACAATTATATTTTGCTTAGTTTCATGAATGTCACATGAAAAGTATGCTTAAGAAACTAAAAAAATATCTCCAGATTATTTATTTTACAGAGCTTGTATTTATGACTTTGTAGATTATTTGAAGACAATTCTATCCTTTTGACACTTGATTTATAGCAGATCTCTCAAAGTGAGTGAGTGGCGAGTCAAAGCCTGGTAGAGAAGGGATTTTCAAACATGACAACATTATTGGCCAATAATGATTCTCCACACAACTTTACGGGCCTGGACTGCCGAGATATTAAGTCTGAAAGCCAGGCTGCTCTGACCCCAATCTGTGATGTGCCTGTTTTGTGAATCCTCCTATATCCACTCCAGAAGAAAGAGGCATGTCCGGCCTTACATCTCTGAAGGCCACCATACAGCTTCATAAGCCTGTAATGCCTTGCTGATGTGTAAGCCTGTAACATTGAATCCAAGTCTACATGCTGAGGGATATGAGTGTCCCTCAGGTCATGAATCTTCCGTTACTGCAAAGGCCATCATCATTCTAGATCTGTTTGTTTCGTAGAATGTTGAGATTCTTTCCTTTGTTGAAAGAACATATAAATGACTGTATATTTTAAAGGGGTATCATGTATCATTTTTGCAGCAGAATATGTTTTGAAATATCCTAATTGTCAATGAGAAAAATTTTTGTATGGTTGTTATTTGCTTCCACTTCACAACATATTTGTGCAATTTCTGACATTTATGGTTGGTGCATAAACAGCCCATAAGAGGCACACTCGGTTTGTGGTGCCACCACAAACTATCAGAATGTAAACAAACATGGCTGACATGGTGTTTCCAGCTTTTAAACAGTTGTAAAGGCTTCATTTTTTGGCACCTCCACTTCCTGAATGACACATATTTCAATATGGAGTAGGGTTGATTCAAGTTACTTTGTCAAGAAATGATCAGAGAATTATTATAATAGTACTATTTGTACTTGTTCAAAACACCTGAGTCTACTGTGGGAAGTTTACTCTCCATAAATTTTTGAGGAGAGAAAAACAACAAGCCTAGACTTAGGCAATTATCTTTTAGAATATTCATTGCACATTACCTACAGTATCTGATGGTATATATCCTTATCTGTATCCCTCGTTATTAGTTCCGAAATTGTTCCTTGCTGTTAGCCCAAAAGCAAAAAAAATTGCAATAAGCTCTCTCAAGCTGTGTTGTCTAATATCTTATCTATGTATTAGCAGTTGAAGAAATTACCAGTAAGAGATTTAGGGTCTTTGTCACACCTGTATAAGGACTGTACCATAAAAATTCTAATGAGGGGTGGTCAGGAACATATTTAAAGCCCTTTTATATCACCCTCTGTTGTTAGTGTGGGAGGGGGGGGCAGACTGAGAACTGAAATTTGATAATCTTAGACTTGAAAACAAAACAAAACATTGCACAGAGTACAAGTTTAGCAATTTATTATATATTTTTCATCTTGAATGTAAGATTGCAGCAATTTGGGAAGACCTATGTTGACATAAAGTCTGTTCCAGTCTATGTTACAGATCATTGCTACTGAACCTCCCACCACTTTGGATTTAGATTAAATGTATTCATTTATCAAATCTATTTAAGGATCAAAAGCTCTTGCTTAAACCTGAACTTCTAAGTCCCTTTGATCATTAATTTGTGTTCACTTGACATCAAAGAGCAATGAAATTATTTGTATCACCAACTTTTACTGTACAATGCATATGGATACATCATGTAAGTGAGCATATGCAAGGGAAAAAGTTTTATAGTGCATGTATTATAAAGTGACCTGAGGGATATCACTTTGCCTTTTATACAATTCACCCCTTCCCCCTCCATTTCTTAGGTTCAAGGTTTGGCAAGGAGTCACTGATAAAAACTATTACAGTACCAATATTTGCAGTTATTTTCTTCTTATCTTAACAAGGGAGCATTTTGCTCTGATAAGTAGGAGGAACCCTGGGGCAGACTGTGCCGACATTGACGTCACAACATCCTTTATCTCATTACGATGTTCATTTAACTGCTCACTAGGGCATCATTGCTTTTTGTAAAAACCCTCCAGAGAAAGATCGACTCCTTTGATGAATGCTAAATGGATCTGTCTCTCCTCGTGATGTCTTTTTAGTATAGAAGGGTTTCTGGCAGCTTGCTTTGAACTGAAAAATGAACTGTTACAGCTTGTGTGATAGAAAGAAAATAAATGCACACTCACTCACATCCATTGATTCTCATTCTGTGTGTTTTACAATATTGGTGTGCATGATTTGTTGATTGTTAAAACATCTCAAAGCAGCGATTAAAGTAGAAAGCATAGCTAGTCCATAAAATTAATGTCACAGTGGTATCCAGCAAATGTGGGCAGGGGCATTTTGAACTGTGGTGCTATCAGAAAATATGTTTTTGTAAACTTTGGTCTCTTTTCTCAACTTTAGACCTCTTTTTTAGTCTCTTTATTCAGTAATTTACCAACCTGATGAAACTATTCACAGATGTGGTGCTATCAAGTTTTCAAGGCCATTTCAAGCACTTGCGCCAGCATTTTAATAGCTCTGGGTGACTTTCATCTTTCCTATTAGCTATTGAAAAGGTTCTGGCTCATCCCTTCTGGGATGGCATCCAAGCAGCAAATTGGTATAGGTTACACCGGAAGTCAGTCGTGAAAATGATAAGCTGATATGATATAGATATTGTATATAATATAGATTCATGCACCATATGTTGCCAAGTAGTAGGAGATATGATCAAGGACAGTCAAGGTTACTCTCCAAGCAGATGTTGTGGTGGAAAAATTGTAAAGTTTTCTCACCTTTAACTTTGTCTTTCAGAAAAACAACTGCATGAGGATAAAGATCCTGGGTGACTGTTACTACTGTGTGTCTGGACTCCCTGACCCTATCCCAGATCACGCCAAGAACTGTGTCAAGATGGGCCTGGAGATATGTGACGCCATCAAGTAAGGCTCGCTCAATTTGTAGTGCCACCACAAACTACCAGAATGTAAACAAACATGGCTGACATCTGTGTTTCAAGCTTTTAAACATACTCCTAAGGCATCATATTTTGGAACCTCTACTTCCTGAATGCCACTTGCTAGTATTTGCAATGGAGTAGGGTTTATTCAACTGACTTTGTAAAGAAATCACAGAAAGTTGACTTAAAGTATCGTCCTCATTTTACATAATGCAGCCATAATTCACTCAAGCATTTATATTAGGTTATTCTCAGCCTTTTGGGAGAAGGGCATTCTCCATTTTGATCCAAGCAGTTCTTAGGGAGTTCATACCAACTGAACAATACAGATATGGATGTTTCATGCCGATCATTTTACAGGAAAGTTGCGTGGGCGACAGGAGTAGACATCAACATGCGTGTGGGGGTTCACACGGGGAACGTGCTGTGTGGTGTGATCGGTCTGCACAAGTGGCAGTACGACGTGTGGTCACACCACGTCACACTAGCCAACCACATGGAGTCAGGAGGCAGGCCTGGGTGAGTTACAGAACTGTCCTTGTGGGGCGGAAAATTGCCGGTACACACATCTTGAATGAGGGAAAGAAAGGTTGATCTTACCCGCTTTGACTTTATGTAACATGCATGTATTAGTAACACTGGTTACTTCATATATTCAAACTTCCATTGTGTCATAGAATCCTAACTAGAACCGAAAGTTCAGCACCAAGGACAAGGACATCACTGTAAATTACAATTCTATTGTACATGGTGCAAAATGGATTATGTTTTCAATCTTGTCATTTGAAATCATGTAAAATGTTCTCTAGTGCCTACTAGATACATGTATTTCTAAGGTCCTATCAAGTGCCTTGTGTGACAGTAGAGAGAAACAAAGAGATCACAAATACATGTAGGTCAATGTTTTAAAATGTTCAACTGTGAATTTGTTGTTCTTTAATCATAATATGGTAGCAAGCAAACAAAAAAGTAATTTAAAAGATATTCCTCTGAAAAGCTGTTTGACATAAAATGCTGTCAAATGTCATGCTGATTGCAAATCAATTGCTGTGACCAAAGTTTCCAACACAAGACTAGAGTTTTGAGCTGTGCTACAGCCAATCAAATGATGGTTGAGAGAAAATTTTTGATTGGTTGATTTTCCAGGAGAGTTCACATCACCAAGGCAACGCTGGATGAGCTGCAGGGTTACTACAAGGTGGAGCCGGGGGACGGCCATCTCAGGGACGACTACTTAAAGGAGAACAATGTGGAAACTTTCTTTGTCATTGATCCTAAGGTATGCAAGGACTGTAGAAATGTACAATGTATTTATGTCATATCTGGGCCCCGATAATGTTTGATACGGATGATACAGCCCATGAGATACATTGTACGTACCCTTATCATGGGGTTCTAATAGTTATCACGTTGTTTCTAATACTAACACTGGATACTAATACACCTACTCCATGTATGTAGGTACCAGTAGTGTGTTTTTAATCAGACTTCTAACAGGAGAGTAATAATTTATGTGTGAAGTAAATGATTTTAGGGTTCTCTAACAGCTGTTCACCTCCATTTCAGGCCAGAAACAGGGTGACCCCCCACATGTCGCAGCACCGGAAGTTAGCCAGGGACAACAAGCAGCGAGCGTCCGTGCGCATGACGAGGTACCTGTCCACCTGGGGAGCTCACAAACCCTTCCAGGACCTGCCTGACATCAGCAGGAACAGGAACATCTATCTCACACCCGAGTCTCCCAGACCAACCTCACCTACAGCAGTAAGGAGTTAGATTGTACACCCCTGCAGATCTAGCAGTTATACACTTTGGCCTTTGTGCAGCTTTTAGGACTTGAAAAATACTCTTAGCTAGTTTTCAGACTGAATATTCTAGTCACTAATTATCTACATAATAAGTTGAAACAGCATTATCTCAATGTATATCGTATTTTTGGGGTATTACATGTACATGCAGTTAACTATGGCATGTTTCTTACGCTCTTCACATATGAATGTATTATTCCATACAATCCACAGCACCCAGACCAAGTACATGTTAATGTCATCAGGATCAACTCTGTGCCCTGTTCAGATATAAGGTAAGGAGGTGATGACAGGTTTGTTTTGCTCACTTTCATTTATCTGTCATTGCTTAGTGTTTCACACAAATTTGGACCTTATTATGTAGTACATCTTACTCCCTCTCTACTGTACAACGTTCAAACTTTTTTTCATAAACAGACTTTCTATAAAATGTTTTGAAATCTTAATGTGACATATTCCCCATGGGTGTAAATGAATGCTAGGAATGTTGATGACAGGGAAGAGAGTGGTGTTATGGTATGTTAGACTCTGTGTTTGTTTGTTGTATCATTTCTAAACTATATTGGACTGGGTATATGCCTGACTGTAAACTTCTGTGCCCCCCTGCTGCAGTGGCAGTGTTCAGCCCTGTGCCTTGGAGGACCAGATCAATGAAAGGATGGAACAGGCCATTGATGGCATCACTACACACAAGTAAGAACAGCTTAATTTCATCAGTCATTACCTCTTTGTAATTTTTTAATTACTATACTTCAGAGCAGGTTATATTTGCATCCTTCTTCAAACTGTAATGAAAAGGAAATAAGAAAAGTATGCTCCAATTTTGAAGCTTGTGACGTGTATTCTAATGTGTCTTCATACGTATACAGTAATGTAATTAAGGACCAAAAATAGGACTTTTTTTGCATCATAAAGGAATAGAAACTGATAAAAAAGTCTGAAGATTTTGTTGAAGAATGTTGTAATATTCTCCACAACAGACAATGGATCAAGTCACCAGACATGCACAGGCTGACCCTGGGCTTCAAGAATCCAGAATGGCAGGAGAAGGTTAGTACAGAATTATCATATCATAAAATGACAATCCGGGGTTGTCTAGATCTTAGATGTATAGAGGCTAGAAAGTCAAGGAAAATTTATTGGAACTTGTGGTAAATCTTCCTAGTGTCCAGGTCCAAAAGAACTACATTGTAGGCATAATGAATGAATTTAGCACTTACAGGGTAAATGGTCTGTATTTTGAGTACATGTAGGTGACGGGTTTTCATGCACATTGACATTCATGTTCAAAACTCACACAGTTGTAACAGTTACTGCTTTTCCCCACACAGTACCGAGAGATGAAAGTGCCAATGTTTAAGTTCAACGTGCTGTGTGCCTTCATGATCTTTGTTACCATGGCAATCGTCCATTTTACTGTTCTTCCTAAGTGAGTAGAAAATTGTATTCATCATAAAAATGTGATTATTATATAATAATGGCCCATTGAAATCATCCGTTTGTTTTGGCCTTTTTGTTACTTTGCACCATAGATTTTTGTGACATTTCTAACTGTTACAGTAATGTATCTGTACACCATAAAAGTAGAGCTATTGTTGACTGATAATTTTTCTATCCTGTGTAGAACTCCCATCCTGATCTGGAGCTATCTTCTCAGTGCCGTCACACTGCTCTTGGTCTTATTTATCAGCTTTGCAGAAAACATACAGGTGACAATCTTCTCTTCTCAACTCCTCGACCAGTAAACTTTGTGTGCAAATTTGAAACACAGAAATACAACAGTTCCTTAGCATAGTCAGATGTGATATTCAATGAACAAAAAATTTTGACAAAAAACACACTCTTCTAATGTGAGGGAATAATATTTGAATCTTGCAAATCATCCTTACAGTTCTTTATTTCTGTAGCCAGTGAATCCAATCAAATGTTGTCATTGATATCACAGTAAGCATCACGTATCAGGCTAGGTACATTTATGCAGTCAGCATAATTTCATTCTTCTTTGGTTAAACTCTGTATTAATGTTGATTTCCTCCATTTTCCTGCAGTGTTACAAGAAGCACAGACATCCCACATTTAACTTCCTGGCCTCCATGACGTCCAAGTTCTGGTGGTTGAGGAGATGCCTGGCCTTGCTGGTCCTCATGACCATCCTTACTGTGGCAGCTACAAGTGTTGTAAGTCTCACTCTACAGTAAAGCAATGATTGTAAGGTCTAAAACTGTCAGTTATTTTGAGTATTGTTCTCATATATATATATATATAGAGAGAGAGCTTTTGACCAGTCACTTTGACTGGTCTTCTTCAGTAGACTGACCCAGTGAGACTAATATCACATGGCTTCTTTGAAGTGTGACGTCAACACTGGTATAGAACAAAATGCAACTTAAAATGAATTTATTAGTACTAATGTATAATACAATTGTCCAAGTAAATCTCTTTTAAGTTGCATTGTTGCTCTATACTGTTGTGAAAAGATGAGTACACACTATATGACTTATGTAATAATATTATTGTAAATCAGATCTGTGAAAATTGATATGTCTGTTACCCCAGTTAGATTGTGGTCGAAGCAGGTCATTTGGTCTCCATAGCAACGGGAGTGGCACCGACCCTACTCCCAACATGCCTCAGTGTCCCAACTCTACAAGTGCCTCCTGCGTACATGTTTCACCAGTAAGTACTGTGATATACACACGCACGAATGCACACACGCGCGCGCGCGTGTAGATTCTAATTTGACAGAAACCTGTTATACATCATAAAAGAAAATGTATTGTGAAACATAACTGTGAATATCATAAAGTTGACATAGGCTCTAATGTTGCATATAAATAGATATAACAGTATGATTATAATTAATTTTACCAGTATTATCATCATTCATTTATCTCTGTATTTCCCCCTGTCCACAGTATTTTTTCCTGAGCTACCTGCTGGGTATGTTGTCGTGTATGGTGTTTCTACAGACAGGCTTCTCTGTGAAGCTTGTCGGGCTGACTCTGGCCCTGGTGGTGTACAGTGTTCTCATACATCACACACATGCATGGGTCTTCGATGGCTTCGACTGTATGTATACAAATATGAGGTGAGCAAGTTGGCTTATGCTAAGGTCACCTGGGACCCGGCTGGGCTGTTTGTGGTAATGACAAGTATGACATTCATGTTAAAGGCAATAAAACCAAACAAAAACTATTTGACGAAATGTGTATATTCTTGACATGTAACGTTACTGTTTATTTTTCGTTCATGCAAACAGCCTGGCTGGGCCCTGGTTTGGAAATGTGACCTTAGCATTAGATGATTCTTCTTTCTCCAATCAAATTTGAATAGAAATATGTTATAGATAAGACTGTTTACTGTAAAAATTGAAAATCTCCATAAAGAATGTGACAGCGTTTTTGTTTCATGTTATATTACAGCAAGGATAACTTTTATATTGAGCTTCACCAGCGAGGTACAATCTACCTGGTTGTACTGTACATTACTATCCTGGTCATTGACAGACAGGTAAGATATTAAGCATTGTTGTACCTAGTAAATGTATTAGTTTTCTTGGTTTCTGTTTTACAGTAATTACTGTAACCTGCCTTACCATTGTTTGTTACTTTCAATGTCAGATACTTTACCTGGTATAAGTTTCCCAGCTTCTAAATGTCTGTACTTGCTCCTAAGAGATGAAGCTGGAAACTGTAGATCTTTGGGGGGAAGCCAGAGTGCGATCATGTTGTAAGCTCTGTCACCAGTATGCTGTACATTTCAATGAGGAGGAGCCCTCTATGCCTATGTCCCACAGGTAGAGTACACCTCTCGTATGGACTTCCTGTGGAAGACCAAGTGTAAGCGTGAAGGTGAGGAGGTGGAGACCATGGAGAACCTGAACAAGGTCCTGGTGGAGAACGTCATGCCGGTTCACGTCGCCGACCACTTCCTCAGCTCCTCAGCACGGTCCTCTCGGGTAGGCAACGTTTTATTAGACCACGAGTCCTCCCAAAAAACTGTCTCGATCATGATAAGATTTAGTATGTGGGTAGGGTTAATGAAAAGGAAGGTAAAGTTCCATAATGGTTTGCGGAAATCAGCCCTTTTCAGGAGAAGGGACTACCCATGTGTTCCAAAGATAAATAAATAAATAAAAACAAAATTGAATGTTGACTTTTGAACATTGGCCTTTGTGATTGTATACTGGACCTTTTCACCCTTTTTTTCCGCCCAGGAGCTGTACAGCCAGTCCTATGAGTTTGTCTGCGTGATGTTTGCATCCATCCCAAACTTCAAAGAGTTCTATGTGGAGACAGATGTCAATAAGGAGGGCTTGGAGTGTCTTAGATTACTGAATGAGATAATAGCAGACTTTGATGAGGTAAGGATGATTTAAGACATCGATCAAACAGAATCTCCTAATCTCCAAGCAAATCTTTTAGTGGTTGCAAAGACAGTATCAAAATGTGCAACTGTGTATTTCTAGTCCTATAGGAAATATGAATACACACCGGTATATATAATACATGTATGGTGAAGTGGTGTTCTAGCCAGCATCCGTTTTCTGTCATATGACGGAATTTTGCCACTCACGACAGATGAGAAACATGTTCCGCAATCTGTCATCTTAGACGGACAAAAATCAGTGTGAGATGTTATTGAACTATGCTTTCTCAACCTCGCAAAAAAATTTGCAGAAAATAGCATTTCAAAAGATTACAAAATTCTGCCAGGGGAGATGCCCCCGACCCCTTAGGATTGTTGCTTAATCGACAAGATGTGACATCAAACAAAATTAGGATGACAGAAAAAAATTCAGGCTGGCTAGATCACTGTATTGAAGTGACTGATAATTAATGAACAATTCACTAAATGCATAGTAGCAGATGACAACAAACAACAGTGATACAAGCCTGTTGTTTTCTCTCCTGTAGCTCCTGTCCAAGCCAAAGTTCAGCCATGTCGAGAAGATTAAGACCATCGGCAGCACCTACATGGCAGCAACAGGGTTAACCTCTACTACAGGCCAGGTCAGGGGTCATGAACCTTGACATTTTTCTTACTCATATAGTCTCAGCAACTTTATGAGTATATCATAATGCATGATATCAGTTATCGCTTACAGTGACAAAATAAGGAGGACAATCATTTGGTCCTGGATGAACAAAGGTTCAAAACTATCCTACGTCTCTCTGACAAATTCTATTTGAACTGCACCTTTTATCAATCATAGCTCAACTATATAGTTTTACATCCAGCATAGTTGAATGTTTGATGATTGTTCCCACAGCAAGGTGTCTCCTATCCAGAGAAGTTACACCTGATGGGGAACATGGTGGACTTTGCACTGGCTCTGGT